TGACTATCTCGTCTGTCACCATCTCTTCTGTCACGATAACTCTACGCATTATTGTCTTAATTGCGACTGGGACCGTCGCTATTCTAAGGGAAGCTAAGTCCGAGGCTTTCTCCAGTATTGCATCCTGCTGGGCGAGGGATCCAGCTAGGCTTAGCATCAGCGCGCGTGCTTCTTGGTTTTCGACTCTGATTCTTTGTTTTTACCTCATTTTATTGTCCTGTCTGAGTCTATGGCTATGTAGCACATGCAGGTCATCTCTGCCTACTGGCCATGGATACCTATACCAATTGTATATCCCCTTCTATGCCTCACATACAGCTCCCCTCAAACAGTACCACCCCTCACAAGTCCTCATTCGATCATACACTTTGAGAGGCCCTTTGTCCTTCATTAACTCCCCTCTCCAGCCAACAAAACGATGGCCATTTGCGGGTGTATGGCAGCCGGGAAAATTTGGAAAAACCACTGGGTGCGTGGCTCTTCTAATACCGACATTAGGACTAGATCCAAAGACATAGTGACCCTTCCGAAGCGTTCGAAGATGCCGGCTAGCTGGGCGCTGTAGACTTGTGGGTACCTCGGAGAATTCACCCTCTGCCTTTCTAGCCTCCTTCCAACTCCTTCCCGAAGGTCGTGCTGAAATGTCAGAAAAGTCTTGACAGAGCGTGATTGCTGTATGGTAGCTTAGCCTAGCTTCTTTTGTGCCATCCAGGGCTCTGGGAGGGCCATTCACGCACAGACATAAGAAGCCCTCCTGGCTAATTAGCCGAAATCTCGGTCTTGGCGCCCACAAAAAATCCAGAGTTGAAAACTCGAAAAGACCTGTCCCAGCATGATCTTCAAAAACCCGTTTTCTCTATCGCTCCACACCTCAGTCGCCTGTTCTTCCTCAAGTTGTTTATCTCATTAGAGCAACAGTCCCACATAAGCCAAGACCCAGGCTTTGTATTTTTCGACTTGATTTCCTCCTTGCGGGTATGAATAGCATCGTAAATATGTGGTGAGAGATGGCTGGAGATTAAAGGGGCTAGCTCCTGTATGCAATTGGAGCAACTTCTTTATTGGTCGTTGAGGCGAGACGATGCGTGGTTAGAGAGAGGTTGAGGACTCAGATGATAATGAGAGGCATTGTTGAGAAGTCGTCGAATAGAGATGTATTTAAGGTTGTTTTCGGCTTCGATTCGGATGCGATTCTTCTTGGCTATCCTAGATACGCAGAGCATACTGAGCATTTACACCGGCACCACTGGAAGGTGAAGAATTCGTCTTTGCCGGCTTCGGCTTTGATTGTGAAGCCAGTTGGCACACGGTAGACATGCTCAATTTTTGTTTGGGAGATTTCGAGCATTTGCGTAATTGCTTCTTTAACACCGAAAAGTGAGAGTGTTCGCCAGGAATATTCTTTTTCGAGGCGGAGAAACAAACGTTCGTCTTATTGAAAAGCTGAGGGCGATGGATATGGAGACGTCGCCTTGTGAACAAAATACTGATAGATATGGGAGAATTCAATAGATCACTTGGACAGAGTGAGATGATTCATTGATAGTGAATTATATTTGTGGATGATGGATGTAGATACTGAAAGTAAAAAGGCCCTATCTATATACAGGAGTTCCTACCCTTATTCCTCTACATGTTATTGTCTATGATAGCTAGAGAGACTACAATGGTGTCCTCATTGTAGTGAACACGTTGATGTTAGTGTGTAGCGACCAGGAGGCAATAGTGATAGACTCTAAGGGGTTAACTTTGCTGGTGCACAGTTATCCCCTAATGGTGTGTGCAGTTATGAACTCAGATTTTTACAATATGTCTTGCAAGGCCGGTTTTGTTGGTCCGGTTGGATTTTGGGCCGTTTGAGTCGAGGTTGCCGCCTTGTGCATTGTCTGCGCGACTTTTGTAGGTGCCGGGAGCGTCTGTAGGCTATTACGGGTGATCGAGGCCCAAGTGGTTTAGGCCTGGTGCACTTCGGCTGGAATCGCTTCGCGTTGTGGCTCACTTTGCTTACCAGCAGCATATTCTGCGGTCTTGCAACTAATAGTCTGGCTTTCGGGGCGTGGGGGAAATGATGGGAGGACTGTTCCCGGTCCCGATATCATGAATTGAGCTATTGCAGCTCTAATGTAGACTTGCATGGAATCTATAAATTGAACACTCGACCCTTTGGATAAGGGGGAGAGAGCATTTTCGATACCGTTTATTGCAGCCGTGCAAATTTTTACATTTTCCGCAGTTTTTGCGGCCCGGCGTTCCTCAGCCTCAATTAAGACTCTGAGTTTGGGGGGGCATTCCTCCGTCTGCCTGCATTCTCTTTTTTTTTTTTTTTTTTTTTGAATCATTGTGTATTCAGCTATCTAGCTATGACAAATAAAGGGTTCTGCCTGCGTTCATTTTCACCGTGAGGAGAAGGATTCTCTTCTGTGGTTCCTGGTGTATGTTCCGGGGGGTATGGGGTAGATGGTGTACCTTTTGCCTTGTTAACATCTGCAATCGCAGCCCGGTTCATAGCCGGCACAGCGACTTCAATGAGAGGAAGTATATGCTGCCCAGTAGTCGCTGTCCCTAAATTTTTGCGGCTCGTCGCTGCATTTTCAGCTCCGGTCGCATCTGGCTTGAAGTCATTTGAGTTGGGTGGGTCTTTTTTTTACTACTTGAGTCACGGACTATCTAGCACATTGGGCTTCTTTCTGACCCAGGCCACTCCTTGTACAGTGCTCCTTGCCTCTCATGTTTCTTGAAAGATCATTGATATATTGCCCGTGATGAATAGCCATTCAGCTCAGTGTTTACCTATGGAATTCGGCCACCTTTTCCACGGAACCTTCTACCCAAAAAAAAAAAAAAAAAAAAAAAAAAAAAGGTAGCAATGAAAACTGCGTGCGTGGAAAAAATCTCAAAAAATCTATAACACCATCCAGATGAGGCTTAGGCACCGGGATCACAAGAGGTGCACATATTCACCTATATCTTCCTTCTTTATAACATAAGAGGCCAAATGGATTCAATCTACCATCTCCGTATCGGCTGCTGGGTAAGCTCCGGAAACTTATCGCATAGCTATTGCTCCATGATCAAGGGTTGGTGATGAGTAGGGCTCCGACCCTACTATCTGATCTGATCGTGGTTAGCTTCATGATAATGGTGATAGGGGAATGTGTTGAGAGATGAAGATGATACAAACCGCGAAAGCGACTGTGAATAATCATCATAGTGAGGACGAAAGTGTTACTCTAACTCGGCTCTGCAAGCTCTTCAGTGAAAGCTGGAAGATCGCAGGAGATACCGTTAATAGGTAATGTGTTTTCGTCTCTCCCAGTCAAGTAGTGATTCGGTGGAAGAGCAATCGTCAAATTTGGAATAAATTGATGTGCGGCTCTGCGCTTACTAGTGCGTGTACGGATGGGAAGGTTGTTGTTCGATAAAATGCCTTAGGGAGAATTAATCTTGCTGATGTACATTCAGGTCGTTCATATGGTTGAGAGAAACGGCTTGCGCTGTTATTTATAGGATGCCAAGGAATGATGGAGATATTCAGATCGCGAAGCATGAGACGATTGAAGTCACCCTTTCATAGCTAGATAGATACATTCGCTATTTCAATTCGACCCAAAAAATAGTTGAAGTTTCAATTGAATGGTTGTGTGTTTGTAAGTTTAGCCTCTAGGTTTCGGGCTAGCCCACGTTGTTTCGTTGGTAATCACATGCTAAAGGCTTACCTGGTATACGAGTGATAATTCAGACGAATCTTTGGTTACTCAATTTTGGATATCAACGGTTAAAACAGCATTCTAGCCAAACCGTTCTGGTTGGTAACCACAATATTAAATACTGGAGGCCACTGCCCTGGCGAAAAACTATATTATTAATAGATTGATGGTAACGAAAATAACGGAGTAGTTGTATGAAAATCCGATGACGATTGATATTTTCAACAATGCGTTGTGAAGCGACGGTAGCAAATGTGTGAGCATCCTTCCCAGAAATTAAATCAGCTACCGGGGCTCTGTCATACCAATATAAGTTATATATGCAATGTACTGAGATAATAGCAGAATTCTATGTGAACCCTCCTTAAACATAATCAACAGTAATATTAATAAGAGCCGAGTCCAAAGCAGTTTGGCAATGCAAATACGAAGAGGGCACATGGGGCTTAATTCGTATTTACACAGAAGAAAAGTACCCGGAGTATTAGGTCCAGGTTGTCCATGCGGCCACCAATCACAGAACTCCAAGCATATGATTATGTCCAGCCCTGATGGTCAAATGGTAGAGCTGAGATCTGGAGAGAAGCCAAAGATCGATCCTACGAAGCGATGATAAACAATCCTGGAGATATAAAAAGGTTAACACAGTGGATCCTAAATCATGGTTGGATAGATCAATTTCAGATGACAAAAGCGGTCGAAATACTGCTGAGGGAAAGGAAAAGGTCAAATATTTCTTGGGGAGGATAGAGATGATCTGGTTTGTTCACATAGATGGCACTGTGGTGTAACTGCGCTTCCTGAAGAAAGTTTTTGAGATCTTTAGAGAACAAATAGAAAGATGTGGGAGGTTTTCACCATAAAGATTTCCTCCCGGGTAAATATTATGGACTGTAGACACCTGCATGGGCCCATAGGGCGCCAAATCAGGATAATGAAATTAAATTCAAAATAAGAGCCGAGAGCAGTACCGGTTTCCCATCGTTGCCTAGTTTTCGGGGATCCATAGTGTTGCAGTAGCCTGGTGCTAGTAGTGGAGCTAGTGCCACATATTTGTGGCACTTACTACGATGGGCATGCTCTTGCGTAATTGGACCTAAACAGCCTAAATACCTGCATAACATCCCATCTTCAATCTTGAGAACTCCACGCTCATCTGGCACTGTACTAAGTCGACGCATGTCTAGCTAACCCCTTTCATTCTATAGAGTATCTATCCAGCGAGGAAAATATTCTCCATCTAAACAGCCTTGTTTCCCAACATAGACGTACCTCTTCTGAGGCTTTCACATAATGAAAACTCACAAAACTATTCAGCAGCAGCCTTCTTCGGCCTTGTCCCTATCGCCAAAGTGGCTACAAATGTACGACTCATTCATAACCAAAAATCAATCTTCTATCACATCAATCGAATCCGCCTTACAATCCCTTACCTATATGATACCTGGTCGCTTTCGTGATGCTGAACTGGCGTCAGAATCACTTCACTGTTCCATCCAATTACTGTCCATGTATCACGATACGGTCCTACTACGCTCATCAAAAAAGTCATCAGGGTTATCAAATATTCAATCATTGCACAATCGCTATACTAAGTATTGGACTCAGCGCTCACGTCCATATCGTCAGGTTGCTCTTCTTCTGAGTATAATCCGATACACTGAGCTACTATGGGAAATGATAGCCAAACGTCGAGGAGAACGAGTGCGCTGGCGCGTCGTAGTAATGATCGAGGCAATTAAGGCATGTTGCAGACTTTTCCTCCTACGAACGACCAATTCGCGACCCATTGTTAATCCCATCTTACCAGCGCGCGAAACTATTTCAGAGGCTAGTCTCTTCACTGAGGATGGCTCTGATGAGGTAGCCGAATATGGGCAGCTGGCGGTTGAGAAGGAATACCATATGAAGCGAACAGGCCTACATCTTCCCATGCTACCAAATTCTGCCGATATCTCAGGCTATCTTACTTCTAGGGTCCTCACTGCCGATAACATCAAGGCACCAGAAACACTTTTAAACCAAGTCTACGGCTCAGCTCATCTTGCTGAATGCTTGTACATTATACAACCACTAATATACTCTATCGCCAGGTCTCGATGCCGGAACAAGAAGAGTTGGCAACCCTGGCTACTCGGCTTTAGCTTAGAATGCGCCGCGCGCCAGATACGGAAAAATGGCGTTAATCTTACAACGCTTGAGCGGGAACAGTGGGGCAAGAGAAGCTGGGCCATGGCCTGGTGGTTGATGCGTGGTGCCTTTTATGAAAATATTATGCGCAACTTCTTGCATCGCACCTCACAACGCTTACCAGGCCTACTCCTGGGTGTGCTTGAGGACTACATATATCTGTGGGATGAATATTATTTTAGTACAAGCTCCAACTAAGAATTTAATCGGAACCACGTAGCTACTTGTTTGTGCTCAGCTTTTCGTATCACATACCCTCCCTGAACCCCAGGCTAGACGGAGCTTGCCTAGCCGATTCGTGCGCATTGGGTGCGAGTCCTAGCGAGCCATCGTAAACCATTGTAAATTCTCATACTTTTAATCAATTGGTGTGTATCCAGTTATTAGATTCTGAAGCATGGTATATACTTTGTATACATGTTGAATGGATTTTTCGACTTCGAAGGCAATCATAATCTGGAACTTATTTGCAAATACTACCGAGATACCACCGCTCACGTAAAATAGCCTACCCTCGTTCGTGAGCATCCACAAATGGGATATTTAACACTATTAACATCCATGCACATGGTCACTGCGGTGAATATGATGTAGCTTTACTAGTTTCGAGCCAACAATCCCTTGCCTCAAGTGGTGTAAGTGTACAAGCTATCGAAAACCTACATAGAAGACTTGCGTGGACAACGTTCCACTGCACCATCTAATTATGTCAGTGTTCACAATGTGGCTCAAACACTCAGGACCATAGCCGTGGCGCGCACAGTACCATTGTCGATTTTTCCCTTTGGTGGGTTCTAACGGAGGAGGGTCGACTGTTTGTGTAAGCGAACATACCTCATAGTGGTATTTGCAAATGAAATCCAGAGTATGAGTGTCTAACGTCAAAAGAGTCATCCAATATGTATACATAGCACCGGTCATGTGTCATAGCTTTATAGCTGAATACACATTAAATGATTTAAAAAAAAAGTACCTTTGATGTGAAGAGCCGCTCTGCAAAAATCTTAATGTCATCCATTTAGAAATAACAATCATGCTTAAATTAACCATATAGATGTTATGTTCCATCTGATGTCCGTCTCAGATATCTACCTTTTGGATTTGTGCGCCACAATTTTTTCCCCTACGGCTATTCATCTTGTCATGAAGGGGGACTCTTCTCAACATGTGTCAGTGGTGTCCCATACGAACCTCGAGCTCTCACTGTAGAGTCTGCAGAGCAGATATTGAGTAACATCTTTTCAACTTTGAGCTGAGTTATTTCTCCCCCTCCGTCAAAGATACGCTTCCGATAACATATAAGACGACCAAGGCGACCAAGACGATGATAATGATGTTAGGAATGAGGGAGGATAATGCGGTACCAAACGCTACAACGGTAGTTAGAGAAGCCCTTGTTATATTTCAACATGTGCTACCCACCGGCGGGCGAGCAGAAAGCCCACGAAAGCAAAGTAAAAGACCCTTCCGCCCTCAATAAAAGCAGATTTCGACTCGTCAAATATATCGTCCCTACTAATCCTGACCTCCGAACCTACTATCCAGGAGGGCAACTGAAATACATGCGTTACCCGACGACCCCACGTCCGTAACGACTTTTGGATGTTAGGCTAGGCTCTTTCATAACAGTCACTCTCGACCAAGACTTTTCTGACATCCTTTCACGCCCTTCAGTTGTCCCGCGGCACTAATCAAGGGAGGAGTAAGGAGGAGGCTAGGAAGGTTGAGAGACGCTCTTAGCTATACAAAGATCTGCTGCGCCCGGCTGGCCGGCTTCTTCGTCATAGGAGAGCCCCGCACCCAATGGTTTTTGAGACTTTTCCCTGCAGCCACACACCCGCAAATGGCCATCGTTTTGTTGGCTGGAGAGGGGAGATAATTAAGGACAAAGGGCTCCTCAAAGTGTATGATCAGATGAGGACTTGTGAGGGGTGGTACTGTTTGAAGGGAGCTGTATGGGAGGCATAGGATGGGATATACAACTGGTATAGGTATCCCTGGCCAGTAGGCAGAGATGATCTGCATAATCAATAGAGTTATAGGCTAGGGCAGGAGAATAAAACTAAAATTATAACTTTGGCAGTTTAGAAGCGACTATATGGGATTTGCGGGCTGAATGGTGAAGTGGTACACCATTGAGGCGTTCTCCCAAGAAGAAACTGGGTAGCTTGAACATTTACCCCGCTCGTGTCAAGGGAAAGCTGGTTCGAATCCAGTTGAACCCACACACCGCTCTCCCTCGCGGTGAGGTTGGAATTGTGGGATGATGAAAGTATACTCGGATGGCCACGGGTTATTCACGCTTTTCCCTGTGGTGGGTAGTGCATGCGTGTTTTTATTTTACTACTCGAGTCTATGACTATCTAGCACATTGGGCTTCTTTCTGACCCAGGTCACTCCTTGTACAGTGCTCCTTGCCTCTTTTGTTACTTTTAAAATCATTGGTGTATTGCCCGTGATGAATAGCCATTCAGCGCAGTGATTACCCGTGGAATTCGGCAACCATTTCCACGGAAACTTCTACCCAAAAAAAATAAAAATGGTAGCAATGGAAACTGCGTGCGCGGGAAAAAGTCTCAAAAAACCTGCAGGCCCAGCCAGGCGAGGCCTAGACACCGGGACCACACGAGGTGCGTATATTCATCCACGTCTCCATCCTTTGTAACAGTTGAGGCGAACTTGATCCAATCCGCCATCTCCGCATCGGGTGCTGGGTACGCTCCGGGAACCCTTCAGATGGCTTCTCCTCCATGATCAAGGGTTGGTGATGAGAACAGTCACCCCTGTGGTGGGCATGCACGGAGGAGGTTATATGCCATAAGGGTTAACCTCGAGTGGTATCTGCAAATGAAATCTGAGTGTGAGTGCTCTAAATGTCAAGTCGAGTCATCCTACTTAAAGTACATATCTTCGGATAAAAACCTGCATGGGCCTCAAGGTGCCAAATCAGGATATTGAATGATATTTATATACGGAATTTGCATTATAGGCCATAATCCAGTCATGCAAATATTACAACTAGCGACTAGACAAATTTTTAATTTCCTAGGCACAACTCCCCTGTTGTCCATGTCCCATTTATTGTCTTTAAATTTGTGTCATTCCATCATTTGTTGCAAAGTATGCCTTCTATCATCCACGTTAATATCTTACACCTGAAGTTTGTCACTCATGGAACCAACACTGTCACTTTTAGAATCATGTACGGAACTGAGATTTGAGAAATTTGCATAGACAATTTTATTAGTCAGTCTATATTTGAAACTGGTAGTAATTATGAGAATAATCTCAAGATTTATATATTACCTAGATATACTTCTCATGGAGATAAGGATCGATCGATTCAATCTTCGCAGAGAAAACTCAACCTTAATCCAATTCTGCTTGACATCTTACCGTCCTACGTTCGAAGGATGATTCACGTATAATTCCCGGCAGACCTCGTATTATTTAGACGTGGTCAAAGAAAGTAATAAGCCATCTCAATCCAAAGATCTCTGCCATTTTTCCCCATGATACAGTTTCAATCACTCAGATATTCACAATTAATCTTTCACGGTGATCAAGAGAGCGAATCCAGGTACAGACCCAGATATAGCAATAGATGGGACGGGAATATATTCATGCGTAGGTATAATCCAAATGTTTGTAAAATCTATTGGGCTAATGATTGTCCTATTGTCATGATCTCTGAAAATTCTCCGATAGTCGACACTCTATTCTAGATCACTTCGGGCATATCTGGAAGATACTAATATCTGGTTGTAAGACCATAAATTAGTCTGTTGAACATAGGAGAGACTTATATGAGCTAGAAACCAATATTTTGGATATTTTAGATAATTTAGTAATACATAGAATGTTGAAGTAAAATTTTGATAGCGAGAGAGAAGATTATAAAATACCCTTCCAATACTGATCGCACAAACATCAATACTAGATCTGTGAAGAACAAACAGTCCTTTACTGCGTTAACGTCATCAGGCCTTTAGGCCATTGAAGCGAAGTCTTGTGATCGCTCAAGACATAGTTTGTGTATCCTAAGGGTGTAACACAAAATTTATTGGAGATTTGCAGAAGATTGCTAGGAATCTATCTCCTTGAAATCATATCCTTAAGCACACCCCTAAATTTCCACATACCAAAACCAATGCTGGTTAGAAATCCAACTCCGAAGACTCTTAAAATCTTCTCGATGATAACTTCTTGTCTAATAGTAATTTTGATGACATCCGAGTATCGTTCGTTCCCGAAACTTACCCTTGAGTACTTTGTCGCCCACCCTGAGTTTGGAAACCATAAATTGATAGTTTCGTCAAGCCGCTTTCGAATTTTGTACATGCGGGACTTGACTGAAGCTCGCATTTCTTCGTAATTATCTTGGGCAAGTTGTGAAATCGCTTTGCTGTCTTCTACACGAATGCTTGAGTATTCTTCGAGTGCCTGGGATTTTGTATCCGTGTCTGTAAGTGACGAGTACTTATCTAGGGTTTGGAACAAAATTCGAACATCTTCGAGACCTGCGTTCATACCTTGGCCATAAAAAGGCACCATCGCATGCGTGGCATCGCCAAGTATGACAGTGTTATCACTAAAGTGATGCGGAGAACAAGTCAAACTAATAAGAGGAAGGTGCGGATTTTTGATGAAAGACTCAATAAGCGATTCAGGCGATATCAACTGGGGCGTAACTCCGGGAAAGCTTTCCTGGAAAAATTTTACGAGCGCCTCAGAAGACTGGTCAATACTTTTATAAATTGACGCTGGCATAAAGAGTGTGCAGGTAAACTCGCCATTGCTCGATGGGATGGCGATGAACATACGGTCCTTTCCTGGCCAAATATGCAAATGGTGAGGGGACATTTTAAATGAGTCGGATGATGAGACGTAGGGAGGTCCCTTTGCTTCAATCTTAAATTCGCACCATAATACGTCAATGTAGGATTGGGAGTAGTCCATACTTAGTTGTTTCATCATGTGATGGCGAACAGCCGAATGAGCCCCGTCAGCCCCGATCAACAGGTCAAAGTCCACTCCAGTTTTAGTTTTTTTCGGTTCAGTGGATGACTTAGAGACGATTTCAAAATCAATTTTGCGAGATTTCAAATCAGCACGGATCAATTTGTGATTGAACATTAATCGGACGTTTGGGAATGTGGAGAGTTCTTCGATCAGTGCAGAGTTCAAGTCACTCCTATCTATCGCATGTATTGCCTAAATGCTGTCAGTGAGAGAGCTACATTTTGCCAAACGGAAGAAGCGGATTGTATACCCTTCCATGAATGTCATAATCTTGAGATTCTTCGTAGAGCAAACCATCCTTGCCCTGTCCATGGATCATACGCGCCTTCATAGGTACAGAGCCTTGAAGGATTTTTGTGACCATCTCCGTTCTACCGGAATTAATTAAAGCATTAATACCACGTTCAGATAGGGCTAAATTTATGGACTTGGTAAAATTTAAAGGGATGACCGAAGAGTCGCGAAGATCTAAATGACCGTGTTAGAGGGGTGAAAGAGATGTTGTTTAGATTAGTAGGTGTAGACAACATACCGTCCCTTAATTCATATACTTCTACATCATGACCACGCTGTGCCGCGTATATAGCTGCAAGTGAACCAACTGGACCGGCCCCTATTACCAATATCTTCTGTTTTTTTACTTCACCTGTAATTTGATTCATTGCGATGTACGATAGTAGGCCTTGAATTTGTGTCTTACTATGTCTAAGTGTGTCAAAGCGTGTTTTCCGCGCTCCAAAATATCATCGTCTAATGTATTAGTCATCCTTGTCGATCAAACTTTCGTCTCGGACTCCACAGGCAACCATTCATGAACACATTAAGGTTTAACGCGCGCGCCAGGAGTTGCATCGAGGAAAAGTTGCATATAGATTTTCACGAAAATGATTCGGTTTCTTAAGCGCTATAATAAGTGTCGATGTTGCACAAATCGAATCGTTTTTTTTCTTCAATCTGATATGTTCTAGGTCAACCGTGAATCCATCTACTAGTTCAAAATTGCATGTTTATGAATTCGAGAAGAGATCTTATTTAGCTGTAACTTGTTTTTATTGATTAAATGCCATCCTTATCCTTGGAAATAATAAGTTTTCTAGGTCGTACGCAGCAGTAATGTTCTTCCCTTGAGGCAGAATACATGCAGCACCAAAGCAGATATGACTTATGAGTCCTAAGTACCATGACGGAAACCAGCTGCTAAAGGAGCTAAGATTATGCGCTAGCTGGATGGGTTTTGGGACAAACGACGTTGTGTAGGATATGCTCAGGAAAACATTTCTGCGTGAGGGATTAGCCCCTGCGAATCGAAAGGACCCCATTCAATTTGGCCATTTTTCCATCTAGGTGAGCTTGTCCAGAGAGAAGCTGGGGTAGATGAAATTCACTAGTCGTGGATTCATCTTCAAATGTGATGTTTGTGTGATTGTCATTGTAATGACTAATTATCCTCTTGGCAAGGGGGCATAGTTGGCTCACATGCCGTCGTGTGACATTACACACTGCAGAATTCAATGTCGGCTTTTACATTTTCCTTCTCTGGTGAAGATATAGAAGATTGTTCCACACCAGATGATCATCTAGACCCTAACCCACAGACATCACAAGATATGGTATCTAAAAGTCGAAGATGTGCTCACAATTCAGCGTTCCCCATACCTGGGCAAGCTGCACTCAAGCCACAGGTCCATCCACTAAGTACATTGCTCAGCAAACTACCGTCAAGAATTTCCTACAGTACACTACATGTTCCTCTTGGAGATGGCTCAAGTATTTCTATTCCGAGGCGAGAACTTTGGGATGTTAGACTTCAACTTATGGCTGAGGATGACGAAGATAGCCTTGGGAATTTAGCTAAAGTCGATGTGAAGACTGGTGTGTACGAAGGTGGCTTCAAACTTTGGGAGAGCTCAGGCGACGTCGTTAACGTTCTGTCCGAGCGAGGTAACTCTCTCCTCATGGGTAAGTGTGGGATTATTGAGGTTCGAATTACTCCTCCAAGACTTGTACTTGTGCTAATTTTCATGGATAGCTTGGATGTGGAACAGCACTTCCATCTCTCTTTGGGTTTCAACTACTGCTTCATACGTCACCCAAGGCACTACAAAAAACAAATCTCGCTCTCGCTGACTACAATCCCACAGTTCTTCAACTAGTCACTCTTCCGAATTTGATCCTTTCCTGGGCTTACGTTCAAAGCGAATCATGGGAAGAAGAAGGTGAATTAGAGATCGACGAGAACACTGTCGAAAGATTTTTAAAATCTCTAGAATCACACCACACCATTTTATCTTTCTTTTCGGGTGGTTGGGGTCCAGAGTTTATACGTCTAGTGGCACAGAACATAGAATCGGATTTAGACCAATGTATAATTATTGGTGCAGAAACTATATATTCTCCCTTCGCACTTAAGTCTTTTACAGAAACCCTACTCGGCCTACTTAAGATAATATCTGCAAAGAAAAAGACATCCCTTGTGGCAGCCAAAAAGGTTTATTTTGGAGTAGGAGGCTCTATAGAAGATTTTTATACTCTCGTCGAAAAAAATGGTGGCCTACTTGAACTGGTTCAAGAGGAATCTGATGGAGTGAAGAGGGTAGTAGTTGAGGTTCAAACACCAGAAGCAGGAATTGACGCTTACATGTACGGTCATAGTCTATCGACCCAGCTGGCTATCAGATAATTGGTACAAATACAACAAGCTTCATTTACAACAAAGCGTCAGCATCGAGCTAGTACTCGTGCTCTGTGCTTCTCTCCAACTCTACAACATCAAAATCTTGACTACTGGGCAAGATATGAGAGGTGATCACGCGACTGCAAGAATAGTTTAGTCAGGTATACTGGTATAATGGTACGGAAATGGAAGAAAAAATGAGTTAATACAATAGCCAAATCAACAATTCTATTACCGATATTACGCACGGATTTTTTACAGGAGATTACAGATATTGATGGCAATAGAGCATTCATCACTGTTTTGACCTTGACGTGGTTAAGTTATAAAACTATGCAACCCATGAACATATTGGTTTTGCCATTGATTGACGCAGCTAATTGTCAAGTTTCCTTTTTTTGGCGCAAATCATTTTGATGGACGGAATCTAATTTATGCTATCGAGAAACAGTTTTCTGAGGAGACATGTCAATTTTCTTTGGTATCTTGTGTGGCCGAGGCATATGGAGATAAATAAAGATTATTGATATTAAGTCCATAAATTAGTATATGCTCATCTAGAAAATTCAAGACAAAATTTGAAAGTTTAGAGAAGCATTTATTTGATGATGCTACTTAGCTCTTTTTTTGATGCTTAAAGGCAACCTTCCTAGAACCTTCTCCCGTAGGTTCATAATGAATCTACCCCTTCTAATATCTCCAATGCACGTCCTACGAGGTGAATGCTACCAGTAATGAACACGTGAGATCTTTCCGACTTTCCTGAACTTAATATTCGACATAAGCTCAGTGACTCTTCCAAACTAGCTAAGATATGAGTTTTGGCTCCACTAGGTTCGAGATCTATCCATCTATCTGCGAAAGCTGTTTGGTCCCTAAGTTCTTTGATTGCTATCGGATCCATAGACGCATTTACCGAGTCTTCGTATTAGTTAGCGGACATTAAAGCTCGAAATATTTGTCTACACACTTTTTCGAGCATTTGTGCCACTTGGGACTGTGGGACAAAATATTACGTGATCAAATTGTATGTTATTTGCCCTTGTATTTGAAAACATCGTCTCCAACAATACCATTATATCTCGTTTGCCTCGTTGATTAAATATCAAGACGCGCAGCCCATTCTACAGGGATCCGGAATTCACTCGCATATATTTGTTGTCAACCCTAGAGATCTCACTGGCAAACCAAGCGGCGGCTACTTCAGCACTGCTGACATTATGTGCACCATCTAGATACCAGGTAATTGATTCTTCTTCTTTTTTTTTCACACCTTCCTCGCCAAACCACCTCCTCTAATCCCGCTACTATCTAAGGAGGCAATGGATTGGGTGCGGATAGGCGATGCTTGTATCTGCCGAATAACCTCCGAAGAGCGGTATCTGCTAAATACGCTGCCAGGGATGCGTTTCTTCGTTGAAAGGGCGCATCCGGCTGAATCTGTACTTCTTCTAGTTGTAGAAGCGTCTCGACAACACGGCATGACTCGACGTGACGTTCTATAGCTCGTTTCTGGATGACTTCCATAGCCTATGGCTCCAGCTCAACCGTAAAATTTGGACAGTATTTCCTCATAATACCTGCTTTATGCCATGCAATTTCCGGGAAAGTGCTGCCAAGTGCAGCGGTGTGATCAATACCAATAACTGATATACCGGTAGCAACTGGTACTTCCACCACATTGGTAGAGTCGTTTTCTCTGCCCACACCAACTTCATAGATCGCTACGTTTACATCCTACTGGGTAAATATGTGATAACTGAGAAGCGTCAAGAATCGAAAGTTGCCGATCTTCTCCAATGGCTTTGACGATCCGTCGATAGTAGGAGCGCTTTCTAGACAGTTCCATACTTGGAACAATTGGTGAAATTTTCTCGAGCGATAGAGGCTGAGTTAATCCTAATACGTTCGCGTACCGATATGAGATGAGGCGACGTGTAAAGCCCGATTTTTAGCGGAACATTTAGTGAGAATCGATATTAGTTCAAAATCGATTCAACATAGGTACATTTCGAGCCTTTACCCTTAGTACCAGTAACATGCACAATTTTTAGCTTGTTTAGGTCTGATATCCGTTGAGGGTCAGAGAAGCGGGAAAGACAGCGCCACCAGAAGCCTTAGTACCTCGTAACCAAGTAGACGTATACAGGCCCGAATATTATCATTCGGGCTAGATAGCGTCTTGGAGATCATCTCCTGACGAGCCTTTGGCGATGGAAACGATATCTGGAGGGTATTCAAGAGAGTAATGGCATCCTAAACTGTTAGATAGTTGAAGATTAGCTTGAACACTTTACCCACTTCATAGGTCCTTGTGTGAGCTAAAGACGAGTAGCTCTTAGAAAATTTTGTCGAGAGATAAAAGTTGCAGAGTTATTTCGGGCAGAGATATCGACAAGACAAATGGCCGCATCTTTACGAGTGAAATCGGGGCACGCATAATTCTTGGATACTTTTGTAAACGTATAATTTAATTAAAACTATATTCATCAGTATCTTTGCAGTGCACAAAGACTGCTGCTTTTGAAGTGTATTCAGATGCCGTTTCGATCAGCTATAACTACTGTATTTATGGGATTTGACGCAAACTTTACTCAACCAGGGTATGAGCCCGACCTTATCAACTGGTGTAATTAAATTGTAAGGTTAAAGATAGGTGTTTCTCTGGCTATTGAAAGTGAAAAATGAGTGATGTTCGACTACAATAGCAGGTGAACAGAGCTTTCGCTGTTGAGCTGTGAGAGTTGACGAGCTGAGCGATGATTATGACCATCAGAGATGCTAAACTAACAAGATGAAACTAAGAAACCTGAAGGATAAAGAGGCTAGAATTATTAACAGAAATTAAACTAAAAGATATGAGAATTGGGGATACGTTAGGCATCTACTAATCCCTTGACTTCAAATCGCAACCCACATGTCTTACAGCCCTCTGTTCAATGAACCCCCTGGAAGTTAAGTAACTCCAGGATCCACTACATTTCGTTTCACCTAGTTTAATTTCTGCAAATAATTTATCCTCTTCTTCCTTCAGGGCTCTTCATTTAATTTTATTAGCTTAGTATCTCTGAATGTCATAATCATCGCTCAGCTCGTCAACTCTCACAGCTCAACAGCTAAAGCTCTGTTCACTTGCTATTGTAATCGAATACCACTCTTCTTTCCCTTTCAATAGCCCCAAAGTCTCTCTGTGTGAAACCCCCAAACAGGGTATAGGCCTTGATCGGGCTCTTCCCTAAAATATGTCTGCCGATACCGCCTCAATTTCTCATGGTCTCTGAAGGCAAACCTTCTCTTGCTGTCCTCTCATGGTCAGTATCGGACATGGAAGCAAATTTGGCACGTCCAGAGGAATTTTTGGGCTGTTGGAGAGGTAGGACAGGTTGTGTTCGAGCGTAGGAGAAGATGGATTTGGATTTAGATGTAAAGCTGTGAGAGTTAACGAGCAGAGCGATGAATTAGACCTTCAGAGATACTGAGCTATTATAATTATATGAAGAGCCCTGGAGGAAGAAGAGGATAAATTATTAGCAGAAATCAAACTAGGTGAAACGTATTATGGGGGATTGTTGAGGTACGTGCTAATGTCTAAACTTGACAAGGGGACTATTCTCAGCACTTGCAATGATGTACCATACGAAGCTTCAGCTCTCGCTGTAGAGTATCAATAGCCGAGATAGAGTAAAAGAGTCCTCACTTCCTCGAGAATTGCCAATCACTTTCGCTGTCTGTATATATTCATCTCTCAACACATTCCCCTATCAATATTATCATGAAGCTAACCACAATCAGCCGGTAAAGATGGATTCTTCACCTTCCAGTGGTGCCGGTATAATCGCTCAGTATGCTCTGCATATCTGGGAAAGCCAAGAAGAATCGCATCCGAATCGAAGTCGAAAGCAAACACATGCATATTTCCATTTGACGACTTTTCCATCATGCAGCACTCACCATTATCTTCTGAGTCCTCAACCTCTCTCTAACCACACATCATCTCGCCTCAACAACCGATAAAGGCGTCACCTCAACTGCAAACCGGAGCTTGCCTCATTCATTACCGGCCATCACCCACTTCAAATTCACGACGCTACGTATATCCGCAAGGCGGTAATTAAGTCATTACATACAGAGTTGGGGTCTTGATTCATAGGGAACTGATGCTCTAGTGGGGTTGGACATCTTAAGGAGGGACAGGGGCTGAGACGTGGAGCGTGAGGGGGGACAGTTCTCTGAAGACCATTGTGCGTTCATGTGTAGGGGTTGCGAAGTAGCTTACGGTGACTTGGAACTCAAAGCACGCCTGTTATAAGTATCACGGGATGCCTGTGGAGTTCGTTAAGTCATATGTAAGTTGTTCGTACATAATCCTAACAGGAAACTCCTAATGTTACAAGCAAGCTAATACATAATTACAAAATAAGTTCCCACTAAACTTCTCAACGCAATATTTCGTGACCTGGAAACACACCATGCTGGGACTGACATTTTCGAGGGGTTTTCAGCTTTGGAACGCATGTCAGCGTCAATGCCGTAATTTCGGCTAATTAGCCAGGAGGGCTTCTTATGTCCGTGCGTGAATCGCCCTCCCCAGAGCCTTTGACGGCATAAAGGAAGTTGGGCTAAGTTTCCATATGCCAATCAGGCTCTGTCAAGACTTTTGCGACATTTCAGCACGACTTTCGGGAAGGAGTTGGAAGTAGGCTAGAAAGGCAGAGGGTGAATTTCCCGATAGACGCACAAGTCTGCAGCGCTCAGCTGGCCGGCATCTTCGAACGCTTCAGAAGGATCACTATGTCTTTGGATTTGGTCCTAATATTGGTATTAGAAGAGCCCCGCACCCAATGGTTTTTGAGACTTTTCCCTGCAGCCACACACCCGCAAATGGCCATCGTTTTGGTGGCTGGAGAGGGGAGTTAATGAAGGACAAAGGGCTCCTCTTAGTGTATGATCGAATGAGGACTTGTGAGGGGTGGTACTGTTTGAGGGGAGCTGTATGGGTGGCATAC